GCTCTCCTGTACTAAACTCAGAGCTCTGTGTTGAACTCTGAGCTCACAAAGACAATGAAGATGTGGACCTGCTTGAGCGGATGGAGGCCTGAAAGATGATGAGGGTCAGTCAGGTTGGTGTACAGACAAATGGAACACACATCCTGGAGGGTGATGAGGGGCTTGTGTCAGAGGCAGGGATAGATCTCCATTAGTGTATCCAAGCCTGTGATTCACTAGCTGAAGGTTTGATGGAATCCACTGGAAGTGCAAGTCCACCAGCGGGTCGTGGAACTGGGGAAGTAACATGTGAAAGAGGTCTTGGAGCACTTTTTCAACCACCCTGTGGTCTCTACAACCCTGGTACAGTACTGAGAAGGGATTGGAAGTGTCTTGGGAGAAGAAAGAAGAAGGACTCCTCTGAAGCTATGATGCAGGAAAATTTTATTGAGGTAGAACAGTGAAAACTCGGGAGCAGCCAGTGGAAGGGAGATGGTCCAAGGTGCAAGCAGGACGACCATCAGCCAATCTGCTTTGCTTGCCGGAGGTTGTGCCAGAATTTCTGCCTTGCAGAGGGAGCAGCCCAGTGGTGGTGTCTCATGGTTTCTGGCTTGGGAGAAGGGGTGTGCAGCAGAAGACAGTGCACTTAGACAAAGGGGTGATGCAGAGCAAGGAATGGAGGAAGAGGAAGAGAGAGACAGGTGATGTTTGCAGGCAGCCCAGGCTGGCCCCTTGGCTACTGCCCTGCTTGGTGCTCTGAGAGCAGGAGCTGGGAGAGCTGAGCCCCTTTGAGAGCCTTGACCAGAGAGGCGTCTTCAATGCCTGAGATGTGTTCCTGAAAGGAGTGGCCATCAGGAGTGGTGCTGAGGGCCCTCAGCAGTTGTAGCCATAGCCCCTTCTGCCATAGCAGCTCAGGCCTCCCAGCCCATAGCCAAATCCATGGCCATAGCCAAAGCCGTAGCCAAATCCACCAGAGATGGGCTGTCCCTGGGCACTGAGCTCAGTGCCCAGAGCAGCCGAGGAGGTGGATCCGACGGCGGTGCTCTGGGGGAAGGAGGTCATGATGGGTCCTGGCAGGGTGACCAGCACAGGGGAAGGGTCGATGATGACGCGGGAATCCTGGCATTGCAGGGCACAGGGCTCGTTGCAGCTGTTGGCCAGCGGGGTGGGTCCGCAGGGTCGGCAGATGTTGTTGCAGGCCATGGGTGTGGTGTGGAGGGTCCCTGGAAGAGAGGGAGATGAGGAAGGGTAGAGGTGTAGGGCTGTGAGGGGCTGGGAGGCGAGGGAGTGTGGAGGGGGCCAGGGGTGCAGGAGCAGGAGGGTTGGGGGCTTGAGTCTCACCTGGTTGTCAGCAGGAACAGGAGGAGAAGGAGTCAGGAGGAGATTGTGAGTATGAGAGGTTCTGGGCCGCCTTTTATGCTGGTCCTGGAGGGGTGGGACAGCCTTGTCCCATGGCCTTGGGGCATTCACTAGCCAACAGGTCTTTTCTGGCCTGGTGAGTCATGAGGTGGGAAGTTTTTTCCTTCCCAGAACTCTGCAGTGTCATATCCAGCTCTTGAGGCCATGTCCATCTGACCTTGGCGGCAGCTTTCAGAGATGGTATTTGGGCGGATTTGATTGTGAGATGTGTGTCAGGGAAGGCTGAATAAACAACCAGAACCCAGCAGAAATGCAATGTCATCAGCTTGGTCATTTTGTGGGCCTCGTGTTCTGTGGTTTGTGGGTGCCCTGTGAAGACTGGTTTCCTCTTCTGTGCCACTGGATGTCCATCAGTCATTGTGTTGCATCCAGAAGTGTTGAGGAAGCTTCTGATGTCCTGGGGAGGTCACTGAGACATATCTTGGAAAGGTTCCAAAGCAGGTGGGAGCTGCTCCTGATTTCTGAAATAGAGTTTATTCTCTTGTGTCTTCTATGTGAGAAAGAGGAAGAATCTGGAAAATGAGAGGCTATTTAGGCTGAACATGTTCCATTTCTGAAATTTACACAACCATGTACTTTGTCAATTAAAGTATATTCCTTGGCTTCATTCAGAAATCCTATAAATAACAATAAACCAGGCTTGATCCCTGTTTTCCCAAACTGATCTGTGACATCAATTCACTTATTCCGCATTCAAGCCACAAGGTGTCATAACTTATAATCATAAGTCTTATTGTTTTGTTCCTGTAAGCAAAACCCAATAATTAGTAAGGGACATCTAGCAAGCTCCTCTTTCCTTCTTTGCATGGTTTGGTTGTTCCTTTGTGGAATTGTGCAATTTCATGTTCTGCTCCTGAGGCCATCTCCACCCAACCTTGGTGATACTTTTTAGCTGCGAGAATTAGAGACCAAGTTGTTGCTGTTGATGGTGCTTGCCAGGACATGTAGAAGATACAAGCAAAGCTTACAAGCATTGGGGTGTCATCAGTGAGGTCATTCCATGGCATATTGACAATGTGTCCCATTTGCATTCTTGCCTCCTGCCTGGAGGAACTCCCAGCTTCTCAGCTTCTTCTCATCTTAGGGATCCTCCACTCCCATCAGTGTCATGGTGGCCCTGCACTACTCTTGGTCAACCATGTTCATGTCCATGTAGCCTCACCTGTGGTGGGGAACAAGAGGGTCAACTCCCTCAACCTGCTTTATTTCTGTTCCTAATCCTGTCCTGATAACTGCTGGAGTTTTTTTTTAAATGGATCTTGATGACCTCGAGATCCATTTATGCTCCACCAGGAACAGAAGGTCCTTCCCTCTTAGAATGATTTGGCAGCCGAGGGAAGGGCAACTGCTGTCATCCTGATCTTCTGTCAGGCCTTTTACACAGTCACACATAACATCTTTATCTCTGAACTGCAGACACGTGGGCTTCAAAGAGGTCTAATGAATGGATGAGGAACAGAGAGTGATGGTCAATGGCTCTCTGTACAGGTAGAGGCCAGTGACGAGGCCTCCAGGCCTCTGCCTTGGACTGCTGCTCTTGAATACCTTTATCAAGGAGATGAGCAGTGAGACTGAGACTACCCTCAGCATGTTTGCAGTTGCCACAAAAATGAGGCAGCTGACACAAGAACATGGAGGGTTCCCATCAGGAGGGACACTGGGAATGTTGAGAACATAAGAACCTCTTGTGGTTCAACAAGTCCAAATTCAAGGTTCTGCACATGGGTTGGGACAATCCCAGACACGAGCACAGCTTTGGAGAGGGAATCCTTAAGAGCACTTCCACCAGAGAATGACCTGAGGGTTCTGGTGGACCAAAATCTTAAAAGGAAACAGCAACGTGAATTTTCAGTCCAGGCCACCAGCCATTTCCTGGGCTGCATAGAAAGAAGTGTGGCCAGCAGGACTAGCTGGTGGTTAATTTGAGATGTGAGAATGTCATTATTGTCACAAATAGGTGACAAAATAGGGACCAAAATAGGGACACCTATAGAGACCAAAAGGTTCAAGAGACGGCCATGAATCCTTGCAGCAAAAGAATTCTGGAAAAGGGTTTCTAGTTTCTAGCACATTGATACTTTCTGTCTCCTCAGAGATAGGTATATCTGATTTAGGGTGATGTCCTGGGCTTCACAGTGGAAAACAGACATGGACTTAGTGAATAAGAACAGTGCAGGAGCAGCAAGAGGTTGAGGGGACCAAAGGATCCTTGTGATTAGAAACGGGAGACGTGCAAGGTTTATTTTCACGAGAAGGGAAGAATGGACAAAGGAGAAGTTGTGAGTGTTCCATGGCATGACCTCACTCATAACACCCCAATTCTTGTAGGCTTTGTTGTCGTCTTCTACGCGCCTGACACAAACCAATAATACCATATACCAATACCAATACTTTGGCCTCTACTCCTCAAATTAAAAACTGCTGCCAAGGTCAGATGGACACAGCCTGTAGAGAAGGACACAAAATCACAGAATTCCACAAAGACATGCCAGCACCATGACCGAGGAGGAAACAGGATCACAATTACCATCCAGTAGCAATTAGTGGTTTTTTCTTCCTAACTGGAACAAAATATTACAACTGACAGGATATAAGTTATGAACCCATAGGGCTTGGATGCAGAATAAGTAAAGTCACACCACAGATCAGCCTGGGAAAAACCTGATCAATATCATTGGTTACCTGTTTATTTGATTTCTTAAAGAGGTAAAGAAATACACTTTAAATGACAGAGTACGTTTCCATGTAAAGTTGAGAAATCCAAATGGACCACAGCATTGGAATAAGTTCAACCTATCAAGGCTTTAATTTCCAGATCCTCTCTCTTGATCTTACACAAGAAACAACTGCATGGGGTCCCTTTCATCCATCAGGAAGAGCTCCCAGGCACCAGAACCTTTCCAAGTTCTTGCAGAGTAACCTCCCCAGGACATCAGCATCTCCCTCAGCATTGCTGGGTGCAACACAATGACTGAAGGACATCCAGTGGAACAGAAGAGTCCCAGTCTTCGGAAGGCACTCAAAAACCAGAGGACGTGTGCCACAAAATGACCTCATTGATGACATCGCATTTCTGATGGGCTCTGGTTGTTTATTCAGCCCTCCCTGACTCACATGTAACAATCAAATCTGCCCAAATACAAATGCAATGAAGTTACTGCCAAGGTCAGATGGAAATGGCTTCAAGAGCAGGACATGGAATTGCAGAATGGCATGAAGGAAAACACACCCCACCTCATGACTCTCCAAACTGGTCCAGGTGAGAGATGCTGCAGGCTAAAAAATGCCCCAAGGCCATGGCACAAGGCTGTCCCACCCATACAGAACCAGCATAAAAGCCAGACCAAAGCCTCTCTCCATCACACACTTCTCCTCACGCCTTCTCCTCCTGCTCCTGCTGACAACCAGGTGAGCCTCAAGCCCCTGACCCTCCCGATCCTGCACCCCTGGCCCCTCTCTGCTAGCATGCTCAGCCCCAGCCTCAGCAGCCCTCACCACTCCCCACAGCCCCACAACAGCCTCCTCATTCCCTTGCTTCCCAGCTCCCACACCCCTGCCCTGCCTTACCCCCTCTCTCTTCCAGGACCCTCCACTCCACACCCATGGCCTGCAACAACATCTGCCGACCCTGCGGACCCACCCCGCTGGCCAACAGCTGCAACGAGCCCTGTGCCCTGCAATGCCAGGATTCCCGCGTCATCATCAACCCTTCCCCTGTGCTGGTCACCCTGCCAGGACCCATCATGACCTCCTTCCCCCAGAGCACCGCCGTCGGATCCACCTCCTCGGCTGCTCTGGGCACTGAGCTCAGTGCTCAGGGACAGCCCATCTCTGGTGGATTTGGTGGCTTTGCCTATGGCCTTGGCTATGGCCGTGGATTTGGCTATGGGCTGGGAGGCCTGGGCTGCTATGGCAGACGGGGCTATGGCTACAACTGCTAAGGGGCCAGCCCTGGGCTGCCTGCAAACATGGCCCATCTGCCTCCTGCTCTCCCTCTCCCTGCTCTGCAGGCCCCTTTGGCTCTGTTCAGTCTCTGCTGCAAATGCCATCTCACTGGCCAGAAATCACTGGGGACGTCCACCATCAGGCTGCTCCCACCGTGACGTAGGAAGACCTTGATGCTCTGGAAAAACTGCCTGCAATCCAAGAACCTTGGCTGATGGTCACCCTACTTTCAGCTCAGCCTGCTCCTTTCGACTGGATGCTCATGGCCTTTTATTCTTCATCCTCAATAAAGTTTTCCTGCATCATAACCTCATATGACTCATTCTTTCTTTTCCCATCTCACTCAGCACTAAGCCAGTGTTGTAGAGATCACTGGGATTAAAAATGTACCAAGACCTCTTTGGGGATTTATTTCCCCAGTTCCAGCAGCCACTGGCAGGCTTTGGTCTTCCAGTTCATCCCACAAACCTTTCTGTTTCTAGAACACAGTCCTGGATACACTAATGCAGGTCTATCCCTGCTGCTGGCACAAGCCCCTCTGCGTGGTGTGTTCACCTTGGGTGGACGCCAGTTCCTCCAGCCCCTCATTATCTCCTCAGCCCACTAAGAGATCTGCTTAAGCAGGTCCATGTCTTTCTTATCATAGGGGTCCTACAGTTGAACACACAATTCCAGTCTCTGTTTTTCAATTCCAGCGCCAGAGATGAGTGAAGGTTGTGAATCCTCTGCTCACCTCCCAACTACACTGTGAGCATGAGCACAGGACACAGGAGGTTTCTGGTCTGCGAGTGCACATGGTCAGGGCACATCCAATTTTTCATTCACTCACACCTCAAACCCTTCATTTTGGGACTGCTCTCAATCCCCTCATGACCCAGCCTTTATCCTACATGTTTGAGATTGTTCCAATTCAGGTGCAGCAGATTCTGCCCCTCTGCTCCTATTGGAGAACACTTCATCTATAGGTTACTGGAAATAAGGAAGACAAGACTCAGGTTTAGAAGATCCAGGGCACAGACTTGAGGATGATCTATGGCTGGAGGTTTGGGACAGCCCTGGCCAGTTATCCCAGGGTATTTTTTCCTTCCCACAGTTCTGCATTGTCATGTTCTGCTCTTGAGGCTGTGTCCCATCTGACCTTGGCAGCAGATTTGATGAGTTGGTATTGGTCCCAGCATTGCCGGATGAGGGAAGAGGGACCAATAACATGTACCTGGACCTGTGCACAGTATTACTTCCTTTGCCAGGGAAGATCCTTTTCTCTAAGCTGGAGAGATGTGGGTGTTGGTTGGACCATTTGGTTAAGAAGAAAATGGGTGGGATGGTCACAGTGAAAGAGTTTTGAAAGAGTCAATGGTTCCACGTGTGTGGGGAGAGCAGGGATGAGTCCTGACCCTCACAGGCTCGTGTTCAACCATTATCACTACACATTGTTGTGAGGGACATGGAGAGTGCAATTGTGTGTCCTATCAGCAAAAATGTGAATAACAGAGAAGTGAGTTGTGTAAGTGGGATTGTCTGGAAGGAGGGGATGGCCATGGAAGAGGACAAGGGAGTGTGGAGTTTGTTGTGGGGCTGTGGGGAGGCATGAGGGCTATTGATGCTGGGGCTGAGTGTGCTGGAGGAGAGGGGCCGGAGTGCAGGAGCAGGATTGTCAGGGGCTTGAGGTTCACCTGGTTGTTGGCAGGAGCAGAAGGCTTGAGGAGAAGTGTGTGAGGGAGAGAGGCTCTGGGCTGGCTTTTATGCTGGTTCTGGAGGGGCGGGACAGCCTTGTCCCTAGCCTTGGGGCATTTTTTAGGCAGCAGCTCTTGATCTGCTCAGCCTGGTCATTTATAAGGTGGGTCATGTTTTCCTTCCTGATATTCTGTCATTCCATGCCCTCCCCTTGAGGCTGTGTCCATCTGACCTTGGCAGCAGCTTTTAATTGGGAGCAATACAGGTCAAGGTTTTGGTCTTGTTTTTTTCTCAGGAGTGTAAAAGATGCAAACAAAGCCAACAAGAATTTGGCTGTTTTCTCCTGTCTTCAACTGACTCCCAGCCATTCCTGCTGGCCACACCTGTTTCTATTCAGCCCAGGATATGGTTGTTTTTCTGGGCTAGAAATTCACATTGCTGTGTCATTTTGGTCCACCACAACCTTCAGTTCTTCTCTGTGTAAGTGATCTCAAGGAGTTTTCTCCAAAGCTGTGCTCATGTCTGGTACTGTCCCAACCCAGGTGCAGGACCTTGAACTTGGACTTGTTGAACCACAAGAGGTTCTTATGTTCTCAACATTCCCAGTGTACCTCCTGATGGGATCCCTCATTGTCTTGTGTCAGCTGCAACACTCAGCTTCCTGGCACTGCAAACATGCTGGGTGGTCTTGATCTCACTGCTCATCTCCTTGATAAAGGCATTCAGAATCACTCGGCAGAGGTTGTTGCAGGCCATGGGTGTGGAGTGGATGGTCCCTGGAAGAGAGGGGGTGATGCAGGGCAGGGGTGTGGGGTGGAGGTTCCCTGGAAGAAAGGTGTGAGGCAGGGTGGGGGTGTGAGGGTGTGAGAGGCAGTGATGTAGGATGGTGAGGGAGCGTGGAGGCTGTTGTGGGGCTGTGGGGAGGCGTGAGGGCTGCTGAGGCTAGGGCTGAGTGTGCTGGAGGAGAGGTGCAGGAGCACCTGCCAGGGGTGCAGGAGCAGGAGGGTCATGGGCTTGAGGCTCACCTGGTTGTCAGCTGGAGCAGCAGGAGAAGGCGTGAGGAGAAGTGTGTGAGGGAGAGAGGTGCTGGACCACCTTTTATGCTCATCCTGGAGGGGCGGGACAACCTCATCCCATGGCCTTGGGGCATTTTTTAGCCTGCAGCTCTTGTCTGGCCCAGCCTGGTGAGTCATGAGTTGTAGATTATTCTCCTTCATCCATTTCTGCAATTCCATATCCTGCTCTTGAGGCTGCGTCCATCTGACCTTGGAGGCAGCTTCTATCTGGGAGTTGGTATTTGGGAGTATTTGACTGTTCTGTGTGTGTCGGGGAGGGGTGGATTAACAGCCAGCACCCAGGAAAGGTGCAATGTCATCAGTGTGGTCATTTTGTGGCCCTCTTGTTCTGTGGTTTGCAGGTGCCTTGTGAAGACTGGGACTCTCTTCTGTGGCACTGGATGTCCATCAGTCATTGTGTTGCATCCAGGAATGTTGAGGAAGCTGCTGATGTCCTGAGTAGGTCACTCTGCAATATCTTTGAAAGGTCACAGTGCCTGAGAGCCCTTCATGATGGAGGAAAGAGAGCATCTCCCTTTTGTTTTTTTAATGATATCATGAAAGAAGATCTGGGAAACAAGAGGCAGTTCAGGGCTGAACTTGTTCCAGTCTACTTGTATTTTGAAATTTACACAATTTACACAACAATATACTCTGTCATTTAAAGTGTATTCTTTGACCTCATTCAGGAATCCAATAAACAACAAACGGGGCCCAATCCCTTTTTTCCCAGGCTGGTCTGTGACATCAATTCCTTTTTTCCGCATTCAAGCCACAAGTTTTCATAACTTATAATTAGTAAGTCTTAATGTGTTGTTCCTATGAGCAAAACCCAATAATTACTAACGGACAGCCAGTAAGCTCCTCTTTCCTTTTGTGTCATTGAGCAGTTGTTCCTGTGTGGAATTGTGCAATTTTGTGTTCTGCTCCTGAGGCCATCTCCATCTGACCTTGGTGGTAGGTTTAAGTTGCAAGAATTAGAGACCAAGGTGTTGTTGTTGATTGTGAGTGTCACAACACATAGAAGATTCAACCACAGCTTAGAAGATTTGGAGTGGCATCACTGAAGTCATTCCATGGCACATTGACAACATGCCCCATTTGCATTCTTGCCTCCTGCCTGCAAGAAATTCCAGCTCTCTCAGCTTCTCATCTTAAAGGGGCGGGACAACCTCATCCCATGGCCTTGGGGCATTTTTTAGCCTGCAGCTCTTGTCTGGCCCAGCCTGGTGAGTCATGAGTTGTAGATTATTCTCCTTCATCCATTTCTGCAATTCCATATCCTGCTCTTGAGGCTGCGTCCATCTGACCTTGGAGGCAGCTTCTATCTGGGAGTTGGTATTTGGGAGTATTTGACTGTTCTGTGTGTGTCGGGGAGGGGTGGATTAACAGCCAGCACCCAGGAAAGGTGCAATGTCATCAGTGTGGTCATTTTGTGGCCCTCTTGTTCTGTGGTTTGCAGGTGCCTTGTGAAGACTGGGACTCTCTTCTGTGGCACTGGATGTCCATCAGTCATTGTGTTGCATCCAGGAATGTTGAGGAAGCTGCTGATGTCCTGAGTAGGTCACTCTGCAATATCTTTGAAAGGTCACAGTGCCTGAGAGCCCTTCATGATGGAGGAAAGAGAGCATCTCCCTTTTGTTTTTTCAATGATATCATGACAGAAGATCTGGGAAACAAGAGGCAGTTCAGGGCTGAACTTGTTCCAGTCTACTTGTATTTTGAAATTTACACAATTTACACAACAATATACTCTGTCATTTAAAGTGTATTCTTTGACCTCATTCAGGAATCCAATAAACAACAAACGGGGCCCAATCCCTTTTTTCCCAGGCTGGTCTGTGACATCAATTCCTTTTTTCCGCATTCAAGCCACAAGTTTTCATAACTTATAATTAGTAAGTCTTAATGTGTTGTTCCTATGAGCAAAACCCAATAATTACTAACGGACAGCCAGTAAGCTCCTCTTTCCTTTTGTGTCATTGAGCAGTTGTTCCTGTGTGGAATTGTGCAATTTTGTGTTCTGCTCCTGAGGCCATCTCCATCTGACCTTGGTGGTAGGTTTAAGTTGCAAGAATTAGAGACCAAGGTGTTGTTGTTGATTGTGAGTGTCACAACACATAGAAGATTCAACCACAGCTTAGAAGATTTGGAGTGGCATCACTGAAGTCATTCCATGGCACACTGACAACATGCCCCATTTGCATTCTTGCCTCCTGCCTGCAAGAAATTCCAGCTCTCTCAGCTTCTCATCTTAAGGATCCTCC